AAATCGATGTTAATATGGAATAAGACAAATAAATAAAGTCTTTTTATTCTAGTAAAAAATTTTACTTCTTTTTTTTTACTTGTCAGATGTTATGAGATTTTTTTTCTTAAACTGATTTTATGGGATATAAGACAAATAAATAAAATAATTAAATAAAATTCTGGATAGAAATAGTAATGCATTAATTACGTTGACTTTTCAATATACTAAATTTGGTAAATAAGATACCTTATATAATAAGTATAGATACAAATAAATAACATGCCAAAATTTTAAAGAATAACTAATGTATTTTAATTTATTATCTAGCCATCAGTAATATCATTTAATGATGTGATCATTATCTCTTAAATGATAAATAAAATATTAATTTTAAAAAAAAAATATTTGTTTTTTTTTTATACTCAAATAAAAATTAAAAAATAGTATTTACAAATATGAATTATAATATATATCGGTAAAATCATTGCAAAAGTTAATAAAATTATTTAAGGAAATAATCTTTTTTATCATATTTGAATAGGAAATGTATATATGCAAGCAATTAATGCATATAGTAAAAAAATTCTAAATAAAGTATGCATTAAATGTGAGTTGACTTTTCTTGCTACTATTTTTGGTAAATAGTATGGCTTTTAATATATGTATAGATATATAATTGCTGGCAAATGTATTAAATAAAATATTTAATAAAACCTCAATTATATTCCTGTCTAAATAAGTTATTTTTGACTTTTTTGTTTCTTTATCAAATCTCATTAATATAAAATCGTCACACTTTTGTTTATACTTTATATTCACCTTTAATTCATTTATTTTTAATAATAAATACATAATTAACCCAATAATCAATAAAACTTCATCAAATTGAAAATTGATTCTCAAATAATATTTCAGATATTATTCTTAATACTTTATTGATATTTTGTATTTAGTAAATAAAACTGATTTTGATATTACTCTCTAAAATTAATAATATATCATAATAAATAATGATGAAGAAAAATTGTCCCGTATAACCAATTACAAATATAAAAATTGTTAGAAATTCACTCTCTACAATAAATCAAACTTCACCAACTCTTGATTTCAATCTCAACCTGTAAAAAGACAGAAAAATATTATAATGATAAAAAATATCATGTACAATAAA